ATAGAGAGGTCCACCGAATGCCACCGAATGTCCCAGTGGCTGAAATCGCATGCAGTTCCTGCGCCCACTACAGCGCTTCGTGGCCCCAGAGGGAACTCCACCGAAGGTCCCAGTGGCGGAACTCGCATGCGGTTCCTGCGCCAAGTACAACGCTTCTTGGCCCCAGAGGGAGCTCCGCCGAAGGTCTCAGTGGCGGAACTCGCATGCGGCTCCCCCGCCCAGTACAGCGTTTCTTGGCCCCAGAGGGAGCTCCACGGAAGACGATACCCACAACTGCGGTGCTCACAACTGCAGATGGTTGGGTTCTTCGCCAGGCTAATTTGGATGGTCATGTTTGCGTGCTAGGTGGTCGTGTCGTTTACCTGTCAAGAGCTCCTGCTTATTTTTCTGGATGGCCAGATCTGCGTTAAGGAGAGTATAGTTTTCTTCGGTGTCCCTCATAAAATTTTGGGGTGGTCCTGTTTAGTTTCGGCGAGGTCCTATTTGCGGTTTGTGGCCCCGTTTGCATTTCAGGTGGTCCTGCGTGTGCTTTTTTCGGTTCAAGGTGCTGCTGTTTACCGTTTTGGATGGTCCTGTGTACTTTGTGGAGGTCTGTCTACTGTGAGCCGGTCCTGTCCAGTTGTTTGGCAGGTCCTGCTCGCGTTCTTGGGTGGTCCTGTCTTCCCAACCATCCTATGGTGTTGGGTCCTCGTTTTGAAAAGACGTCGCCCAGCGTTGCTACTCTCCTCTCCTCTCCTCCTCTCCCTCCTCCCTCTTCCGATATAATCATCATCATGTTCATCATCCTCATCATCATCAGCAGCATCATCCTCATCCTCATCATCATCATCATCATCATCATCATCATCATCATCATCATCATCATCATCATCATCATCATCATCCTCATCATCATCATCATCATCATCATCATCATCATCATCATCCTCATCCTCCTCCTCATCATCATCACCATCACCATCGCCATCATCACAATCACCATCACCATCACCACCACACCATCACCAGTCATCATCATCATCATCATCATCATCATCATCATCATCATCATCATCATCATCATCATCATCATCATCATCATCATCATCATCATCATCATCATCATCATCATATCATCATCATCATCATCATCATCGTCATCGTCATCGTCATCGTCATCGTCATCGTCATCGCATCATCACCATCATCAATCATCATCCTCATCATCATCTCATCATCATCATCATTCATCATCATCATCATCATCATCATCACCACATCATCATCATCATCATCATCATCATCATCATCATCATCATCATCATCATCATCATCATCCTCATCCTCATCACGTTTCGTAGCGCTATAGAGAGATCCACCGAAGGTCCCAGTGGCGCAGCCCGCATGCGTCTCCCACACCCATCGTGGCCCCATAGGGCTCCGCCGAAGGTCCCAGTGGCGCAGCACGCATGCGTCTCCACCCCTGAGTACAGCGCTTCGCGGCTCCATAGGGAGCTCCACCTAAGATCCCAGTTGCGCAGCACGCATGCGACTCCCACACCCACTACAGCGCTTCGTGGCCCCATCGGGTCATAAGGACACCTGCGGTCCCAGTGGCGCAGCCCGCATGCGTCTTCCCCACCCAACACAGCGCTTCGTGGCCCCATTGGGAGTTCCACCGAAGGTCCCAGTGGCAGCCCACATGGGTTTCCCGCCCGAGCGCAGTGGCGGAATCGCGCGGCAGCGCAACTGGATAGTCCTGGCCCGAAGTGCTCCCAGGTTTACACGCCAGTTTGTGGCCTCTGGGGCTCCTGGGCCTCGCGAGGGGTACCCTAGAAGACCTCTACGCCTCACAGAGATGGCCAGGATCACTTTGGGCAGGGGCCGCTGCTGGCAACATCCGACTGGTGCCGACGCGCTGAGGCCGACTACTGGCTCTTTTGCGACTCTCACGGCGCGCACGAGGGGGTGGCGCGAGGCGGGCGGCCTCTCTGAGAAAACAGCGAGCTTCCTGGGAGCCGCCCCTGGGGGAACACGCAGGTGCCGATACCGCTGCTCCCCAAACCCCTGGTGGTAAACCATGGGAGCCTCCCCATACTACCTTGATGGATGTATCCAGTCGGTGCTAATCGACGCTAGTCGACGCTAAATCTATGCTAATCGACGCGAGTCGACGCTATTCGACGAAACGCCAGCGCTATCTCATCTGTTATCAGAAGCTGATCGACGTTAGTGCATTCTGAAGACGGAGCTACGAGAGTATACGAGACTCCCATGATTTGCTGTCGAACGAATTTCTCCTGGCGTGGGCGCTGCGGAGGATTTCGAGGCGAATCCAGCCAGGGCGACCGGGGCAAGATAGCCTCCACGACCCGGACGGCGCCGCAAGCTACCAACACTCCCCAAGACCGCCCCATGCTCGCGTCGGTAATAAGAACACGACGGAATCCATGCCTGGCTATTCGTCAGCAAGTGCGGGCCACCGCAACCTTTTTTCTGACTATAGGACGAGCCCACAAAGCATGATGGCCGCGAACCGGACCGAAAACCGAGAACCGGTCCTCGAACCGAACCAGACGAAACGGACCGGCCCTCGACTGGAACCGGCAGAATCAAACCGAACCGGCCCGACGAACCGAACCAGCCAAACCAACCGGCCCGACGAACCGAAACGGCCAAACGGGACGCGACCCGCCAGCGGGTCCTGCGAGCGGGTCAAGAGGACCCCCCAAGACTCCCCAGAACCCACCAGGACCCCCCAGGACCTCCCACGACCCCTCAGGACCCTCCAAAACCCCCTAAGACCCCCAGGACCACGCAGGACCACCCAGGACCCCCCAGGACCCCCAGGAGCCCCCAGGACCCCCCAGGACCCCGCAGGACCCTCCAGGGCCCCCCAGGGACCCGTAGGGCCCCCCAGGGCGCCCCAGGATCCCCCAGAGCGCCCCAGGGCCTCCCAGGGTTCCTCAGGACCCTCCAGGACCCCCCAGAAGCCCCCAGGGCCCCCCAGGATCCCTCCTGCAGGATCCCCCAGGGCGCCCCAGGGCCTCCCAGGACCCCCCAGGACCCAGGACCCCCCAGGATTCCTAGGACCCCCCAGGGCCCCCCAGGGCTCTCGATTTTCTTTGTCAAAGAAAAACGAGCCAGGCAAGGGCCGAGGGCAAAGTAGCCGTATCGCCAACCTCCTCTGAGCCCCGGCTTCCACGAAGAAATATGTTGGCAGTTGCCGTCGCCGGCGTCGTCGTCGCCGGCGTCGTCGTCGGCTTCGTAGTCGTCGTCCCCTTCAGGGTCGGCGGCGCTGGCCGTAAGGCCTTCGCAATCTCGGAAGCCTCTGGGTCTCTCCGACAGGGCCCCCGCCTTCTAAAAGAGGCCCCCCCGAAACTTCAAAGAGCCGCCCCCTCGCGCCGGCCCCCCTGCACGCGCCGCCGACTGCTGCCGCTCCCGCCGCCCGTGACTGGCAAGGAGCGCACTGGGCCCACGCGAGCGCTTCCCGCAACGGTCCAGTCCTCCCTCTCCCAATCTCCTGCTCCCTCCCCCCACCAATCATCTTCCTCAATCTTCCTCGCTCCCTCCTCCTCCCCCTCCCTCGTCCTCACTCCTCCCTCCTCCCTCCCTCCTCCATCCTCATCCCTGCCTGCTCCTCCTCCTCCTTCCCTCCCTCCATCCCTCCTTCACTTCCTCCCTCCCTCCCTCCTCCTCCTCGTCCTCCTCCTCCTCTCCTCCTCCTCTCCTCCTCCTCCTCCTCCTCCTCCTCTCCTCCCTCCTCTCCTCCTCCTCCTCCTCCTCCTCCCTCCCTCCCTCCCTCCCTCCCCCTCCCTCCCTCCCCTCCCTCCCTCCCTCCCTCCCTTCCCTCCCTCCCTCCCTCCCTCCCCCTCCCTCCCTCCTCTCTCCTCCTCCCCTCCTCCCTCCTCCTCCTCTCGTCCTCCCTCCTCCCTCCTCCTCCTCCTCCTCCTCCTCGTCCTCCTCCTCCTCCTCCTCCTCCTCCTCCTCCTCAGCAGCAGCAGCAGCACCATCAGCATCGTCAGAATCATCGGCAGCATCATCAGCATCAGTATCAACATCAGCATCAGCATCATCATTATCATCATCAGCAGCATCATCACCATCACCAGCAGCACCATCTCATCATCACCATCATCATCAGCATCATCAGCAGCATCATCAGCATCAGCATAATCACCATCATCAACAGTATCATCATCAGCAGCATCGGCATCATCATCATCACCACCATCATCAGCATCAGCATCCGTATCAGCATCAGCATCAGCATCAGCATCGGCATCATCAGCGTCATCATCATCATCATCATCATCATCATCATCATCATCATCATCATCATCATCATCATCATCCTCATCCTCATCCTCATCCTCATCCTCATCCTCATCCTCATCCTCATCCTCATCCTCATCCTCATCCTCATCCTCGTCCTCCTCCGCCTCCTCCTCCTCCTCCTCATCATCATGAGCATCATCAGCATCATCATTATCATCACCAGTATCATCATCTCCATCTTCATGATTCACCATCATCAGCCGCAACATCATCATCATCAACAACAACAACAACAACATCATAATCATCATCGTCCGTCCTGAAACAGAGACGTGGACCGTTCCCACAAGCTCGAGCCCGTCGGGTCATAAACTCCAGCTGGCCAGCCGTCGCCAAGTGGAGTAGAGCTGCTTAGCCGGCACCGCGCGCGCGCGCGATCACACCGCGGGTGGGTGCTAGGCGTGGTCATCGCGAAAAAGACTGAAATGCTGATGGTGCCATTCCCCGAGATCTCGGAGGAGAGATGAGAAAAGGCGAGAAGGAACGCGGGGAGAGGGAGGAAAGGGAGCCCCGGCGGGAAGATAACAACGAAGATACATAACGTGACACAATCCACTGAGGAGCAGCGGGCGTCTGAATTACTAAAAGTTGGAGGCGCCACCCCTTATAGGGGGGGGACTACTAGGCATAGAATTCACCCTATGGGGGAGTCAGGGCGCACGAGCTCGCTTCTCCAAAACGGCTCAGCTCGAGCTGCTCGAGATCGCGATGACGCCCTCGGGCGAGCACACCACCTTATGGCGACGAGATCTATACGTATCCACTATCCCAGGCCTGGCCAATCCTGGGCCCACGAACGGTGTAAATGCCATGCAGGCAAGGCGTGTACGTCGCAGCTGGGCCGAGGATGGGCCAGGCCTGGGGCAGTGGATGTGTATAGATCTCGTCGCCCTACACCTTCTGGCAGCAGAGGGGGCAGCACTGGCGCTTGCCCTGCGAATGTTTGCCCGCCTGCGTCAGCCAGCGTGCCGCGCACAGGGCGTGGAAGGCCTCGGATGTTCCCTTCGGATTGACGTTCGAGAGAATCGAGGATCGACGTTCGAGGACCGAAGATCGAGGATCCAGGATCGATGCCGATCCTGATCCCGATCCTGATCGGCAGTGACAAGCAGAACTGCACATGGAAGTATCGGCTCCTGGCTCAAATGACGGCTGCTAGAAAAAGAGGCATTCAAAGCCGCTGCACTACGCTGAACCCGAATTGAGCATCAAGTTACCTCATGTACCACCCTTCGGGTAATGAGCAGGTTTGGGGGGGTGGGGAGGGGTGCAACTACTGGTTTGCGATTGGCATTCGATCGGGTTCGCAATATATATATATATATATATATATATATACCCCTCGGCCTCGCCATCCACCGATCTCACTACCACCCCTCCGATCTGACTATCTGTCGACAAACCTCACAATCTACTCCTTCATCATGTGGAAGTACACCCGGAACCCCTCCATATTGATTTGCAGCCTCCCCCACGCCGTCCCCCCCCCCCTCCAGAGCCCAGAAGACGGCCCCAGACAGCCTCCCGAATGGCCAAGGATCGCTCGAGGTCCTCCCCTGGACGGGCCCCAGACCGCCCGAGAATACATATGGGTCGCGCGCGGCCAGCGTGAATTCCCGTGGGTCCCATTCGCCTCAGGGCAGAGCAAGAATGAATACACATGGGCCCTTTTCGCCCCAAAAGCGGAGCAAGCGTAAGGGAGTGTTTGCACGCTTGCCCCGCCCTAAGGCGTAAAGGACCCACGTGTTTTCGCGCTTGTTCCGCTCTGGGGCGAAAGGGACACTCACGTGTGTTCACGCTTGCTGCGCTCTGGAGCGAAAAGGACCCACGTGATTTCACGCTTGCTGCGCTCTGGGTCGAAAGGGACCCACGTGTTGTCACGCGTCCTGGCCACCCAGGGGCGGCCCCCCATCCCAAATGTGAGGGAGGGCACGAAAACTCATCAAACTCAACGAATCGGCACTATGGCACGTTCCGTCTTGGGGCTCTAAAAAGGCCTCCTGAGGCCTCCCATAAGTAGCCTGGCGAAAGACCCAACCATCTGCAGTTGTGCGAACCGCAGTTGTAAATACATTATTCGGTGGAGCTCCCTATGGGGCCACGAAGCGTGTGAGGGGTGTGCCGAAATGGGCGAGGGGGGGCATGCGGGCCCTGCCGCAGGTGCCTTCGGTGGAGCTCCCTACGTGTGAGGGGTGTGCCGAAATGGGTGGTGTGGAGGCATGCGGGCCTTGCCACTGAGGCCTTCGGTTCAACGGCCTAAGGGTCCACAACACGCGTGAGGGGTGTCCGAACATGGGTGGTGGCGAGGCATGCTGCCGGCCCTGAATTTGGGCCATTCGGTGGGGCTCCCTATGGAGCCACGAAGCTGTAAGGGATGTGCCGAAGCCGGTGGTGGGGAGGCATGCGGGCCCTGCCACTGAGGCCTTCGGTGGCGCCCGTTCAGGAGCCACGAACCATGTGAGGGATGTGCCAACATGTGCGGTGGGGAGGCACGGGGACCCTGCCACTGGGGCCTTCCGTGGAGCTCACTAGGGGCCACGAAACGTGTGAGGGATGTGCCGACAGTGGTGGTGGGTAAACATGCGGGCCCTGCCAATGAGGCTTTCGGTAGAGCTCCCTATGAGGCCACGAAACATGTGAGGGGTGTGACGACATGTGTGTGGCAGACGCATGAGGGCGGTGGCACTGGGACCTTCGGTGGAGCTCCCTATGGGCCTATGGGGCCAAGAAACATGTGAGGGGTGTGCCGACATGTGTGTGGCGGAAGCACGCGGGCGGAGCACTGTGGCCTTCGGTGGCGCTCTTTATGGGGTCACGAAGCATATGAGGGGTGTGCCGACATGGGCGTGGCGGACGGATGCGGGCGGTGGCATGAGGGCCTCCGTTGGAGCTTAGACTCCCTATGGGGCCGCGAAACGTGTGAGGGGTGTGACGACATGCGTGTGGCAGACGCATGCGGGCGGTGGCACTCGGGCCTCCGGTGGAGCTCACTATGGGGCCACGAAGCGTGTGAGGGGTGTGCCGAAATGGTGGGCATGCGGGAAGCAGAGGCACGGATGGGAGGAGGGAGGAGGGGGAGGAGGAGAGGTGGGAGACGCGGGGCGCTGTCTTTTCAAAACGAGGGCCCAACACCACAGGATGGTTGGGACAAACCCTGTAAAGCCCCATTCTGCTTGGAACAAATGCTTTTCGCGCGTACCCTCTCGAGGAAAATAGACGCCCCCTGTCAGATCCGCAATACATAGCGAAGTCCGTTGGCCATCTTGCTCCCATTCGGAGAGATGGGTGCGCAGCGTTTTCCTCAAAATTCGCTATGAATAACGTGGTCTGGAAACATTAGACTTCTAAAACAAAACTAAGTAAATGTTGACTGCTTGCGTTCTGCTCGGGCATGGCGCGTCCTGCGCACAGAAATGTTCGACCGAGACGCTCGGTGTGGAGAAGTGGGGGGGCCGCCTCTTTCGCCCCAGTCCTTTTCGCTTCAGGGCGGAACCATCGTGAAAACACTTGGGCCCCTTTCGCACCAGAGCGCGGCAAGCGTGAAATCCCGTGGGTACCATTCGCCTCAGGGCAGAGCAATAATGAAAGCACGTGGGTCCCTTACGCCTTAAGGCAGGGCTAGCGTGCAAACACTCCCTTACGCTTGCTCCGCTTTGGGGGCGAAACGGGCCCGCGTGTGTGTTCACGCTTGCTGCGCTCTGGGACGAAAGGCACCCGCGTGTTTTCACGTTTGCTGCGCTCTGGGCCGAAACGGGCCTACGTGTTTTCGCAGTTGTTCCGCTCTGGGGCGAAAGGGACCCACGTGTGTTCACATTTGCTGCGCCCTGGAGCGAAGAGGACCCACGTGATTTCACGCTTATTGCGCTCTGGGTCGAAAGGGACCCACGTGTTGTCACGCGTCCTGGCCACCCAGGGGCGCCCCCCCGCCTCCCAAATGTGAGGGAGGGCACAAAAGCAACACAAACTCAACAAATCGGCACTAGTCTCCCAAGCGCTTCTCCGGCGCGTCCAGGCGCTCCGGGCGCTCCCAGGCGCTCCCAAGCGTTCCCAGGCGCTCCCAGGCTCTTCCCAGGCGCTCCCCAGGCAGGCGCTCCGAAGTTTTTCCAGGCGCTCTCATGGCGCTCCTTCAAGCGCTCCCAGGCGCTCCACCGAAGGCCTCATTGGCTGTGTTCACATGCGTCTCCCCCGACCCATTTCGGAACGCCCCTCGCGCGTTTCGTGGCCTGCCCCAAATTAGGGAGCTCCACCGAAGGCCTCGCGGCGGTGTCCACATGCTCCCCTCCGCTCATGTCGGCATACCCCTCACACGTCTCGTGGCCCCATGAGGGCATTCTCCTCCTTCAGTTGGATCCTCCGCCAAGATAGTTTTGGCATATGTTTCGACGTGCCCGGCCCATGGCGTCGGCAACTCTGGGCGATTCGAACCTTGCACCGTGCCCGAATCGGTGGCCTGAAATTCGGCCACAATTGCCGGACAACTTCCGACTGCTGCTGCTGCTGTGGCTTCTGTGCCCGCCGCCGGATATGTGGAAACGGGATTTTGTTTCCTCCTCTTCCGGTTTCCGGCCAGACTTCCACGGGCCCCCGCTCTGACTTCGGATGCGCTTCAAGTTGGCGAATTTCTCAGATTTAAAATGTGTCGAACATGCTCTCCAAACGGTGCGAAACAATAGAGCGGCAATGTCCGCCTCGGAAGGACAAGGCAAATATTTCCGCAGAAATATGGCGGAATCAGCGACGGCTAAGCAGGGCGGAAATCGACAGCAAAGGAGCTTGAAAAATAGGCCGGGAATTTCCGCCCTGCTCTCCAAATCGCCCACCGCACGGAGGATCCGAAGCCAGAGCGGGCCCGTCCGAAGAAGCCGCCGGAGGAAGAGCTGGTCCCGTGGGGAGGCCCCTGGGGTCCGCACAGGGCCCGTTTCCTGCAGGACCCGTCCCGCTGACATCCGACGGTGTGATGTTGGCTCGATCCGCGGCCCAAGAGGTCTCGGCCGATCGCACTATCGGCCACGTTCATGTATACACACGTAGAGACCTCATCTGTACATATATGCATATGTTTGTACATTCGATTTTCCACATCCACCTGCGACCAGGGAATACACTGTCAAGCTAGTACGCGTTGCTTTCCACGGCGATGTTGCAGATATCGTGGGGAGTCCTTGGCTCGGCCTTTTTGGGGGCCTCTTCGCCCGTCTTGGGGTGAGATCGGCTGCCTTTCAGTGATCTTGGCGGCCAGGATGTCAGGAAGATCAATGAGCGCGGTCTCTTCGACTTCTCTTGTGCGCCCACGTGGAGCTTCCCCAGGCCACGTCGAAGCCTTTTTGGACCATTGTCAGGCCATGACAGCCGTTTCTGTTGAGAACCGTTTCGTTGGAGCCGGTTTGGGCCCTCTGCAGACCCTGATCTACACGGCCTGAATCATCAAGTTTCGCCATGGATCTCCGTATGTTGAAAACGACAGCGTCTTGGGACAACAGCGCCGCACGACAAAAAAACGTGGGAGGTAGACCCAGATGCTTGCGGCAAGTCTTGCCATTGCGTTTGCGCAAGAGCGCAATAGGAAGAAGGCTGAGTGCACGAACGGCGCCAACCCGATGTGTGGTCTGAGAAGGACGGCAGGAAGAAAGTCGAGTTCACAAACCGCTGCATCTGCAGTCCAGCGAGTGGTCTGAGCTGGGGAGGGTCGTGATCTTGGCGTCGTCTTCGTCTGTGCGGCAATCGCTGCGCAGAGCGTGCCCGAGTGGAGCGGGGAGCTCGCTGCTTCCCCTTCGGGCGCACTGTTTGTGCCGGCATCGTATATGGTTTCTGTCGCTGGCGACAGAGAAGCGGTTTGCACCAAAACAGAGAGAGGCCTCACTTAGTCGATGTAACTACTCCTGTGCAACCCTCGCCTCGTGGCATTCAGGTCTTGGTGCCTCGGAATATCTGGGTCTTGACGGCCCTAAGGTCTTAGGGTTTGGGACTTTTGAAGCATGAGGGTCTCATGT